ACCATTCCATGATTCTGTGATTAATCTAACTGAATTGAAGATGACCCTTTTTTCCCCTTTTTCTCACCAGGTTTCACACAGCCTGCAGCTATAAATAGCTTACCTTCCCAGCCATCGTATTACCCTTCCAATGGATATCAGTCTGGTTATCCTGTTGTTCCCCCTCCTCAACAACCAGTTCAGCCACCGTATGGTGTACCAGGCATAGTACCACCTGCAGCGCCACTGGCCCCGGGAGTCTTACCAACGCTACCTGCGGGCGTTCCGCCTGTGCCGACGCAGTATCCCATATCTCAGGTCCAGCCTCCAGCCAGCACTGGCCAGGTACTGCCACAGATAAATGATTTGCCCTGTAGTTGTCACCTTACTAAGCTGTTTTGTTGCTAACAATAAAATGCTCAAAGTAGTTCCTGATGGGTAATTCATCTTTTAGGGTGTTTTTTCTGGTTATTGCTTTGCTGATGCTTCTGCTGGGCAACTAAATTGTTGGTGTGGCTGCTTCATACTGGGTTTTTCATAGCATAGCCGCTTGTGAAGATAAAGGGTAGTTGCAGGGAGTGGTCAGTTGTTTATGAGAAGTGTTACTGCAGGCTGCGATACAACTACGTAGGTTCGGTGCGTTTGAGGTGCAGACAGTGATTACTTCAGGGTGGGGACATGCTATAAATTAAATACTTGTTTTGTCTTTGAGTTGTAACTATTTGTGTGTTCTGCTCTACATCTGAAACTGTACACGTTAAATGAATACTTTATATACACATTATCACGTTTTCTTGTGTTTTGTTCTCAACTTCTGCGTGCCAGAGTCCACTGAGTGGTCCTTTTCTTCCTGCTGCCCCTGTAAAAACAACCATGCCGACTGGGACTCAGCCACAAGTCCAACCCCATCCCCAAGGTCAAAAGAGACGCTTCACTGAGGAACTACCGGATGAGGGAGAGTCAGGACTGCTGGGATATCAGGTGGAATAAAATCAGCAAATTTACTTTACCAAAATGGAACTCGGCTGGAGCGGGGTTGTTAGTGATGCAAGAGTCACGCCAGACCTTTGGCAGTTGGCAGGAGTTCTTACAAGCCTGGGGACCATGCTTTGGTTTCTTTGAGTGGATGCACTGTTCTAAAGCTGTGGTGGACCTGATTCGTTGCTTTCTGTACCCTTCATCGTTGGTGAAGAATAGCAGTGCGTTCAGGTCAAAGATGACGAGAGCGTGTTACTGGTTAGTTTAAAGGGAGATTATTCGGGGTTCTATTGGGGTGTGTTGGGGTTTTTTGGTAGGTCTCTTGAGCAGGCTTGTTTGAGGGATGGGAGGGAAATGTAATAACTTCCAGCTTCTCCTGTTTACCTTTCTTGCAGGTTGCACTTGAGAGGATCTCAAGAAGCCTAGTTTTTAGAGATAGATTCTGTTTCTGTTTAGATAGAAAATGTTAAACCATTGATTTTAATAAGAATAGTTTTGAGTTCTTCGGACTTTGTAAGAAAAGGGAGTTTCTGCAAATGCTTCTGTGATGGTACACCCCTGCTCACAGGCAGAAACCCTTAGTAAAAGCTTTGCCTAGGGAAAGTAAGGAACTGCCTATATGTTAGACCTAATATTAGTACCTTGAGCAGAGTTGACTGGTCTGAGTTCTGTGCAGTATCTGGAGTTTCCTGATTGAGGATCTGTGATCCTCAGATCCACAGATCTGAGTGGGTCTGTGAACTAAGCAGCTATCTTTACTGCCCTGAACTACTGGCAAGGTGGTGAGGTGTCTTCCATGTTGGTGCTCAGGTGTGTTTCTTACTACGTTACCCTCAGTACTTTTAGGAGAAAGCATTTTGCTTAACAATGGTGATTAGTGGCGTCTTCTACTAGTTGGCAGTATGCTCTGAAAAGTTGGATTTCCTGTCGTTATCATTAAGGAGCTATAGCTTATGTTGTAGTTGTAGATTTGCTAATGCCGTGTGTTTTTCTGCTCATAGCATGGACCCATTCATATGACTAATTTAGGTACAGGCTTCTCCAGTCAGAGTGAAATCGATGGAGCCGGATCGAAGCCAGCAAGTTCCTCAGGAAAGGAGAGAGAGAGGGACAGGTGAGTGATAAATTTTGTTCTGGTCTCTTCCAGTTCTGATGGAGAACTTATTTCGGAGATGATCTGTGCTTCATGTTCTCTTCTGTGACCTGGGGGTTGGGCAGGTGTGTTTTTTCTGTTGTGGGTGGGGTTTGTGTTGTGGTTGAGGGTTTTTTTAAGGAGAAGGCATGCAAGGGTTACCTTTTTGTGCTACGTGATGGAAAGAGCTTATCTTCCACTCCTCGCCAAGTCTGTGTGCTTTTTCTCGGTCTGGGTCTGGTATTTTGCCAGCTTCTTGAGATAACAGGCTATCTCGTGAAACAGGTTAGCACTTGCACTTTACACTGTTCCAATTTTAAAACAAACCTAGGAAAGTTGTAAAGTTGAAATTTTGCAGCCCGAAATTTCAGCGAAAGGTTTATTTGATAGTCCCTGATGTTTTCTGGTCTTCATGAAATACATCAAGGGTATTGGTAAAGTTTTCTATATTCTACCTTTTGCACGTAGTCCTGGAGTCAGCCTGGCTGTTTGAAGCCATCGGGCATTCACGCTTTTCCTTATGCACTCCAGTGTATAAAACTGTCAGGCTTGCACTTTACTTCATAGCACCCTACCATGGTTTGGGTCGGAAGGCACCTTAAAGGTCATCTAGTCCACCCCATCTGCCACGGGGAGGAACATCTTCCACTAGGCCAGGTTACTCAAAGCCCTGTCCAGCCTGAGCTTGAACACTTCCTGGGATGGGATGTCTCCCACCTCTGGACAACTTGTTCCAGTGTCTCATCACCATTAAGGAAATAATTTCTTCCTTAATTTAACCTAAATCTGTCCTCTTGAGTTTAAAACCATTGCCCCTTGTCCTTTTGTGACAGGCCTTGGCAAAAAGTCTCTCTCCATCTTTCTTATAAGCCCCCTTCAGATATTGAAAGACCGTAATAAGTGTCCCTGGAGCCTTCTCTTCTCCAGGCTGAGCAACACCAACTCCGTCAGCCTTTCTTTGTAGGAGAGGAGTTGCAGCCCTCACGTCATTTCCTGGCCCTCTGGACATGCTCCAGCAGGTCTGTGTTTTGGGCTGGAGACCCCAGAGCTGGGTGCAGTGCTCCAGGTGGGGTTTAAAAGAGCAGAGCGGGAGAATCGCTTCCCTCAACCTGCTGGCCCACGCTGCTCTTTAAGCAGCCTAGGAGGTCGCTGGCTTTCTGGGCTGCCAGCGCATGTTGCTGGCTTGTGTCTAATTTTCCAGCCACCGGTAGCCCCAAGCCCCTCTTGCAGGGCTGCTCTCAGTCCATTCATGCCCCGGTAAGCGTTGATCCCGAGGATTGCTCTGACCCATGGGCAGGACCTTGCACTTGGCCTTGTTGAACTCCCTGAGGTTGGCATGGGCCCACTTGAGTTAGGAATCTGTTTGCTGTTACCTTTGACTCCTTGCTTGGTGTAAAAAAACGGAAAATAAGGCCTTGCCTTGGTTTAAATAGGCAGTTGATGCCTCCGCCAGCTTTTCCTGTCACTGGGATGAAATCGGAATCTGAAGAAAGAAATGGTGCGGGGTCGTTACCAGGCAACCATGGTGAGTGCAATGAATAAAATACACTTGTAAGTCAAGTTTCCTTTCCCAAATGAGTTTGTGCTGATCTTAACACTCATTTCAATCCATGATCATTTTTCTGGGGCTGTTCTGCACGCCGCATTGTTGGAGTGCAAAGCAGGTTGTCTTGCACTGCTTTAAAATCCCCCCCATTCACTGTGACTGTGCACACATGGTACTTCCCTTAAAACCTGAATAAGCCTCCGTATGAATGAGGAAGCGTGTAATTAAGTGACGGACCAAGGACAGGTGGTGTTGACCTGCAGAGGCACGGCATCCCGTGGGATTGGTTTGTAACGCAGATATGTGGCTTTACGTTGGGAACTGCTGTCTCTAGAGGCACTGAGGAGTGTCGGTGCGAGTTATGGTTCACGTGTGTATTTACAGACATGAGTTACAGCTGCCTCCTCTGCCAACAACACAAGTGCTGTCAGATTTCATCCTTTCATAGGGCTTTCATACATCAGTATTTGCAGCTTGGCAAAACGTGTGATCATGTTAACTCTCCGGGTAGTTTAGTGCCTTTCAGGTCTGCAGGTACCTCATGTTAGCGTGTTAACCTTAGTTTTTCTGCAGTATTGGTCCCAGAGGTTGCTCTTCTGTTAGCTTTCTGTTGAACAGAACTCCTACTTTTCTTTACATATTGATCTCTTTAACGGTGAAATTGCCATCACTTAGACCCGTTTGCTAACGTGACCTTTTTTGTGTGTTTCTTTCTTCTTTCTCTGTTCTCTTACATGGTTCTGATGGATCACACGTGCTGTTGCTGGTGCTGTTTCGTGTGGCCTTCGACCTTGGGTGACCATTGGCCTTGTGACCTCAAAATGGTGTCCAACTAACCATTTACAATTAACATCCTTTTTTTTGATTAACTCATTTTGGGGCGATTTTATCTCTTATTTTTTATTTTTTCCTCCTCGGGGGCGGTGGGGGTTGTTTTGTTTTCCCCTCTTTAGATCATCAAGCCAAGAAGATGAAAACTGCAGAGAAGGGCTTTGGGTTAGTGGCATATGCTGGAGATTCGTCAGATGAAGAGGAGGAACACGGTGGCCATAAAAACGCAAGTACTTTTTCACAGGGATGGAGTTTGGGATACCAGTACCCGTCCTCACAACAGCGAGCTAAACAACAGATGCCATTTTGGATGGCACCGTAGAAGCTGCAGAAGAGTTTTCATTCATCTCTTTTCCCCCCTCTAGCAATAATGCATGTATAGTACAAACGGAACTTTGCAGAGACGCGTTGTTCCGCATCTGCAGAAGCTAAAGGTTCGGTGTTTCCCCTTGAAAGGGCTCCAGCATTTTTAAAATCCTTCCTTCTGCGGTGAATTTGTCAATTACAAATTATTTGGACTAGTATTCTGCCAGGGCTAGTCCCTTACACAGCGGGGGAAGCGCTGTAAAGAGAAACTAGGGAAGCCTGTCGCTCTGCATTTCCCATTTTTCCAGGATAAATTAAAAATGGGAGGAGTCGGTTACGCTGGCTCTGTTCGACACCTGGTGTTTTTATTTCATTGCCTGTTCCTGCTCTCGGCCTGTGGAGCTCGTGGTGACCCCGGCTTCACGCTGGGACTTCAAACAAGGGAGAGGAACACGCATGGAAAACCTGAGGCTCGCCTGTCTTAAAACTCGTCGTTTGTTTTTACTTTTAAGCATTTCCTGTAAGTCAGCGCTGAGTTTTTGGTTTTGTTGGTTTTGGAAACGTGCTTTTACTAACCCCACAGCTTCTCGTTCTAGCCAGATGTCGGGGCGGGGGGGATGCTCAGGTTTTTGGATGGATTCATCTTGCCGGGAACCCCCAGGTGGACTTAGTGCCGTAGCGCTGGTACTTAGCCTCCTCCAGTCGCCCCGTGCGTTTCATTCCCATGCAGCAGTTTGGCTGGAACTCCTTCTCCTGAGGTTTGCCCCCATCTCTTCGCTTCCTTGACTCTACCCCTTCTCTTTCACGGTGGCTCAACAGAAAAGACAGGCAGCAGCCGGGTCCGCGCAGCACCGGCGCCCCAGCGCGGGGCCTTGCTCTTCCCTTGGAGCGGAACCTGGGGCTAAGGTGCTGGACTGTTAGCAGA